GAACCTGGTGTATGCCGTAGCACGACTAGATTGAGGGGCGGATAGAAGAAGTTTATGAATTCAAGGTATCTCAACCAGATCCATGTTCACCAAGAGCCAGTCTTGTCCAATCATGGACTGGGGGTTCCAATTCAAACCTCACGATCAGTGAGTAATTCTCGAGTCTTTATAACAGATTTGAGAGAGTTCATATCAAGAGAAAGACTGATGCAACAAGTCATTCGTTCATTCCAATGTGAACGACTGATTCCTACGGTCCTCTCGGGATGCCAATGTTGCTCATATGCGGCCAAACTGTTGGTGTTCGACCAATTTACGAACGTTGTTTTACCTAACCAACGACGACATTCTCACAGGAAGAAGTCTCCAGAGACCGAATATCCTGGGGTCACTATCAATATGATCGGTAGAAGGAATACCTCAGATCCTAGTTCCGATGACTCTGAGACAAGTCGTTCACCGACCGTTAGAGAAGTCACTAACGAGTTTGAAGGAGTCTACCGACACACTCGGACTCGAACGAGAACCATTCCTCCTGTCAACTATCGGAGGTTAGCCAGAGGAACCAATTCTGATGATGAACACTCAGCCATTGTAGAGTCTCAATCATCAAGCTCTTTTGTTGAACATGAGAGCTCCGCTTATATGACGGGAAATCATGAAGATCTCACGAAGAGACTTGACGAGCAGGAGGCCATGCTCAAATCTCAGCAGGAGGCCATCAATGAACTCATGGCCCTGTTGACTCAAATCGTCGCAGACAAGACCAAATCTCAGGAGATAGATTTGTCACCTAGGCAAGAATCTTCCAGGAGAGAAAAAGCGTCTTCATCCCGACCTCACACAAGCAAAGGAAAGGAAAAAGTGGTTGATGATGCTGCTTCTGATCAAGAAGCCCACAACCTGGAATCTTCCTCTGATGAAGCAAAAGAGACTGAGAGCGAGCAGAATCTCCAGTCTGCCAAAATGGAAGAATTAGAAGCCCGTCTCAATGTCATTGCTAACAGAAGCGAGCTCCAAGATGAGGGAGTTGTTAGGCCCTATCTTGCCGAATGGGATGCAGCCCCTTATCCTCCAAAATTTGAGGTCCCGACGCTACAAACTTTTAACGGCACGGGATCACCGAACCAACATATCTATCATTTTAAGTCACAGACTGGGAATGTGATATCAAACGATGCCATACTAGCTCGATTGTTCATTAGCACCCTCAAGGGAATTGTCTTTGAATGGTTCAGGAACTGCCTGCGGGATGTATCCAAAAGTGGGCGGATCAAGAGAGACTCTTCCTGTCGAGATTCTTTGAAGAGGATACAGAAGTCTCCATCCATACCCTTCTCGCCACTAAGCAGAAGAAGAGGGAGTCCATCAAAGCATTCGTCAAGAGGTTTCGAAACATGGCTCTGCGATGTTCGTCGGGTATGACACAGTCTACACTGGTAGAGACCTGTCGACACAACTTGCAAATTGACCTCCTAGTCCGAATAGGAATTGCAGAATGTTGTTCTTGGAGACAACTAATCTCTCAAGGTGAACAGGCTTAAAAGATTATTGTCAGGATCAAAGCTGAAGAACAAAATAGGCAGGATCAGCCTGAGCAATCAGACCCAGCCCAATCTTCTCAGTCAGAAGGGGAAGATACTATGATCACTGAAGCTAATCCTCTTCTGTAGGATGCCAAGGTCTCTAATAACTATCACGTTAATAATTACCTCTGATAGTCAAACTCGTTAGATAGTGACCCATCAGGCGATGTGCCATGTCTTCTCCTTTTCCCCCCTACACTTGTTCAAGACTGGGGGTTGGTTTATTTGTAGTTCATTGGATTATGAATAATAAATTTTCTGAGTTGTCATGTTCAATAGAATACCTCTGTCAACCACGAAGTCTACAAAAACTATCACATTAATGATCACCTCTGATAGTCTATCAATCTGCCAATTCGCTTCAATAAGATGGCAGGTCCACAAAACTATCACGTTAACAGTTACCTTTGATAGTCCCTCAATCTGCCAATCATCTTCAATAGAATGACAGATCCCCAAAACTATCACGTTAACATTTACCTCTGATAGTCCTTCAACTTGCCAATCCTCTTCAATAGGATAGCAGGACCACAAAACTATCATGTTAACATTTACCTCTGATAGTCCATCAACCTGCCAATCTTTCTCAATAGGATGGCAGGTCAACAAAACTATCACGTTAACAGTTACCTCTGATAGTCCATCAACTTGCTAATCTTCCTCAATAGGATGGCAGGTTCACAAAACTATCACGTTAACAGTTACCTCTGATAGTCAAACTCATCAGATAATAGCCTACCAGGTGATGTGCCTCTATTCCGACTTCATGGATAGTGTCTCACTAGGCGATGTGCCTTGTCTACCTGTTTTTATTCCCCTACTAAGTCTTAATCAAGACTGGGGGTTGGTTACTTGGAATCCACTAGATTAAGAGTAACGAATTTTTCACATCGTCGAGTTAACATTACACTTCTGATGATCATCATCCCCACAGAGTATGCATTCAACTCGCATTACTCCCAATTTGTCATGTTAACAACATATACCTCTGACAATCAACTTATCAATCCTTACCAATAGGATGATAGGTCCTCAAAATTACGCAAATCGTAATCTTCCCTAGCAAGACACTAAGTCTTCAAAATCTTATTCAAATCACAAACATCAAAATTCATCACTTCTGATGATGAACTCACCTATCAAGTTTCCCCAGCGAGACGTTAATTCCCAAAATCTTGTGCAAGTCACAAGTACACATTCTCTTGTCACGTTAATATCAAACACCTCTGACAACCCACTTATCAATCCTCTTCAATAGGATGATAAGTCCATAAAGTTGCTACGATAGCAACACATTCCTGTCACGTTAACATCATACCTCTGACAACCCACTTATCAATCCTCTTTAATAGGATGATAAGTCCACAAAGTTGCTCCGATCGCAACACATTCCTGTCACGTTAACATCATACCTCTGACAAAATTAACTTATCGACTCTCCTTAATAGAGCGATAGCTCCATAAATTTTAGTCAAGTTAACATCACACCTATGACGATCAAACCAACTTATCGACTCTCTTCAATAGAGCGATAAGCCCATAAAATACTGTTAGGTTAACATCACACCTCTAACAGTCAAATCCCCCAAAGAACTTGTTAATCTCTTTTCAATAAGAATGGCAAGTTTTTATTATAAAATCCCTACCAGATTAAATATTTTCTGGAATTATCCTAGTGATAATAAAGAAAATTTCTGAATTTCACTCTAAGTGGAAATTCATGCCAAGTTAATATTACACCTCTGGCGCTTCCAACTTTCTTTCAGTGTTTCAAGTAACACAGGAAGAAATAATGACAAAGCCTACATATTCAATATCATAGCGGGTCGTTATTAATAACGTCAAAAGTTATGCCTTACACGCATGGGGAAATTTATCCCGAAACCTAAGTAGGGATAAGTCAACGCCTGACACGCGTTGCCGGTTAGTCTTTCACCGTAAAAAGGACAAAAATCTACGTATTCGACATCGTAGCAGGTCGTTATTAATAACGCCAAAATTCATGCCTTACACGCATGGGGAAATTTATCACGAATCCTAAGTAGGGATAAGTCAACGCTTAACACGCGTTGCCGGTTAGTCTTTCACCGTAAAAGGTACAAAAGTCTACGTATTCAACATCGTAGCAGGTTGTTATTAATAACGCCGAAATTCATGCCTTACACGCATGAGAGACTTTATCTCGATTCCTAATTAGAGATAAGCCTACGCCTAACACGCGTTTCCGGTTAGTCTTTTTCTGTAAAAATGACAAAGTCTATGTATTCAAAATAATAGCATCAAGTCTAAGAGGGTTCATTCTCTTAGCACAACGTTACATGTGAAACGGATTCAAATAATTTACATGCTAGCCCGACTCAAACGGTAGTCGGTAAAAGCTTATCAAATCCGTTGATGGCTGAGGGTTTGCTAAAAATCCTATGCATGTTCGTAGGTCCATTAGCTTAATGGATGTGAGCCGGGACTTGAAACAGATGAGCTAAAGAAAAGTCTCAAAGACTTAGTCAAAAATACACGGAAGCCACTTCCATGTTTTAAGTCAAAACGCTGAGGTCAGACCCGCGATGCAAAAACCATACGCCGAGGTCATACCCGTGTTCCAAATTCAACATGCAAGGGTGAGACCCGCGTCTCAAGTTCAAAATGGAGGGTTCATCCTCCGCATTCCAGAAGTAGGATTGTGATGCATACCTTCACACAGGTCCTGCATGGCAAATCTCTTCAACCAATGTGCCTTCGAAGCGAGTGCAAAGACTAGATTGAGGGGCGGATATAAGACTAAAATGCCCATCCTGTATGGCTATAGGACGGAAAACTAATCCCAATGCGAGAGTAAGCAATCTCTCAGAATTTTTCTCCACTCTACTACACTTAAGAACTCACACAGTTCATCACTTTCTCACTCAAGTACATCACTGACTTAATCGTCGGAGGAACAACGAGGGAACTAGTCCTCGTCCTCTTACGAGTTGCTATTGTGCAAGAAGAAGCAGCTCAACTCAAAACCAGATATTCGAAGAAGTTAGCGACCCCTAATCAACCTCACCCCCATTACATTATCTGTGTGATTATTAACATCAACAATAGTCTTTCTTCTTTACTATATCCAATGACCAATTAAAATTCTCTTGGCAATTTTGAAGAGCAATATTCAAGCTTCAAATTCATGCACCCATCAAACTTCTGTTATCTGTATTCTCCAATGTTGACTAGTCTTTTGATGTAATGTTTGCTATAGAAGCGTCTGCTTGCGCGACACGCTTGCGCGACGTGTTCCACATGCAGCTTAGCAAGAGAGCTGGGCCTCCGAAATATCTCAATCATTCAACTAATCTTGCACACAATTATAGCTCTATACTGTTTAGTTTCATTCTTACAGGTTGCCTATCATATAGTAAAAAAATTGTTATAAGAATGTTTACAAAGACGTAGCAGTCCTCAACGAAAAACAATGGCTAGCTTCACAAACCTCTTCACCTCTTATCCAGAGCTCTCCTCAACGATAATTTCATGCTTCTTCTTTCTTCTCTTCTACTACAAAACTACCAAAAAATCCAAACTTCCAACCAACTGGCCGATCATCGGAATGCTCCCAAGCGTCGGTTTAAACGCGAACCGACTCCATGAATGGGGAAACGAGGTCCTAAAAGAGTCCGGTTGCACCTTCAAATTCAAAGGGCCATGGTTATTAAACATGGACTATGTCGTCACTTGTGACCCTGCCAATATCAACCACGTCTTCAACGTCAACTTCTCCAATTACCCGAAGGGCGATGAGTTCGTCGAGATCTTCGATATTCTCGGTGATGGCATCTTCAGCGCCGATGACGAGTCCTGGAAGAGTCAGCGGAAGAGGGCTCATTATGCAATGAGCAGTTCAAATTTTCAGAGGTTTGTTACAAAATGTAGCGAAGACAAGGTGGAAAATGCACTTTTGCCTCTTATGTGTAAAATTGCTAAGGGAGGATGCGTTGTTGATTTGCAAGATGTGTTTCTTAGGCTAACTTTTGATTTGACTTGTAATCTGGTGTTTGGCGTCGATCCCGGTGCTTTGTCGGAGGGATTTCCGACCGTTCCGTTTGCGAGGGCGATGGACGATGCCATGGAGGCCTTGTTTTTTAGGCATATTGTGCCTTCGTTTTGGTGGAAGCTAATGAGATGGCTAAATATCGGCAAGGAGAGGAAGTTGTGTGATGCTTGGGGCGTCATTGATGATTTCGTCGCTCAAAACATCGTGAAGAAAAAAGAGGTGATAATCTATGGATGTGACATGTTGACATGTTATATGGAAGAAGAAGATCCAAAAGCAACAGACAACAAGTTCCTTAGGGACACGACCGTGAATCTCATGCTTGCAGGGAGAGACACGACTGGTGTGGCGTTGACGTGGTTCTTTTGGCTCTTGACCAAGAATCCAAGAGTAAAATCAAAGATTCTTGATGAATTGGGGGAGCTTTTGGACGAAAAGACATACGACACATCAAAATTGGTCTACTTGCACGCAGCATTATGCGAGAGCTTGAGGCTTTGCCCTCCGGTTCCATTCGAACGCAAATGCGCGGTCAAGTCAGAGGATCTACCGAGTGGAAAGATCAAATCGAAGGAGAAGATTTTGTTTTTGACATATGCGATAGCGAGGATGGAGAGGATTTGGGGAGAAGATTGCTTGGAGTTTAAGCCTGAGAGATGGATATCGGAGAGAGGGAAGCTGAGGTACGAGCCAGCGTACAAGTTTCTGTCGTTCAATTGCGGTCCGAGGACTTGTTTGGGAAAACACATAGCACTTACTCAGATGAAGATTGTGGCGATAAGCAAGTTCGACGTTGAGGTGGTTGAAGGCCATGTTGTTGAGCCCAAGCGTTCAATAATACTTCACATGAAGAATGGGCTCATGGTGAGGGTCAAGGAGAGGAGGGAGTTTATGTGAGAATGGTTTAAGTAATGGTAATTGTGTTTGCACTATTTTGATGTTACATTGTGGATGCATGTAATTTCTTTAGATTTGGAAATCTAGTATCATAAAAGTCAAAATGTGGGGTTTGACATCATGTTGTAATTCCGCTAAACTACTAGTAAGAATGTACATCCTAGACTGGAGTGTAAAGTGTCATAGTGTTGATTAAATGAAAAAAAATATGGATTGATTTGGTGCAGTAACCTTTCCTAGAATTGAGGAAATATATCTTCTTCTTAATGTGTATCTCTCATGAAATAGCTTGAGTTTTTGATTTTTTTTCATTGTTAGTCACAATGAGTCAGCTTTTTATTTCCTTTTAAAATTTTGGTCTAATAGGTTTCCAAATGAAAGTAAGAAATATATCTTCTTCTTTGACTTCGATCAATTCCTATTCCGGTTACCCTTCTTCTGACTTTGGCCTCTCTGCTCGAGATTTAGGACTGAACCTGAACCTTCTGATTTGGACGATTTTCTTTCTAACCTCCTCGGATAGAATCATGCTAACAATCTCGCTCAGCTTCAACTTCTCCTTCCCTGTTGAGTTGCTAATTGTGGTCGCACAACCTGCCCAACTATCCGGCAACTGCGATAGAATCAATAAGGCCTGCACTTTGTCATCAAACGTGATGTATACGGAGATAAGTTGATCAACAATCGTGTTGAACTCGCTGAGATGTATCGGGAAGGAGCATCCTTCTGCCATCTTGAGGTTGAAGAGCGTTTTAACGAGATGCACCTTGTTTGCGGCTGACGGTTGCTCGTACATCTTCACGAGCGCTTCCATAAGCCCTACCGTCATCTTCTCCTTCAATATATTGTGAGTGACTGATTTCGCAAACGACAACCGGATTTGCTCTAAAGCATTCCTATATAGTATTTCCCACTCCTTGTCTGATTCTTCCTTCTTCTTTCCCTTAGCCTTGCCCATCAATGGATGGTAAAGATCCTTCTGGTATAGATAGTCCTCCATCTGCGACTTCCAGTAGGCGAAGTTTGACCTGTCAAACTTCTCGGTCTTTGATTTGCTTTCCTCTGCCATGGTTCTTGTAAAACCCCGAAAATTTCTACAATAAATATATGTGAATTATTAATAGTAAATATTTTCCTTGTGATGAATAATCATATATATACACATATATATGTCATATGAATGTAATTATCTGTGTTTGAGAACCCAACAAGTGATTTTAAGTGAGAGAAATCGAGTGTTATGGCCAGCGTGTGAAATGCCCAGCAGCAGGCATTTTTGTGCTGCGCGGTCGACCGACGCGGTCGACCGTGGTGGTCGACCGACGCGGTCGACCGCACAGCGGTCAGAGAGCTTCCAGGTTTTGTTTTCTTTACGGTTTTGTTTCGGTTCTTTTGGGTTTCAGGTCGGGTTAGGGAGTTAGTATTTATACCAACTTAACCCAGGAGAGCCTCTCTTCACCTCAGGCTCAAAACCCTATCCCCCATCTCTCAAATCTCAAACCCTAGCTGGATTTGGTGCTTAGGAGGAGATCTGGAGGATTTTTCAGCGGGATTTTGGATTGGCAGCGTAGAGAATCAACCTCCTGCAGATCTAGGGCTTTCGTCAACACCCAAGGCGAGTAATTTCTCGCCCAACCCCCACCCCTTTCGTTTTCATGTCAAGAACTGAGTTTTTATTGGTTTTTATGGAGGCAAATTCGTATTTTAGAATAGCTAATAGAGTATTGTGGCATAGAATATGGATTTGGGATTTTATTTGTTTTAAAAACTCACCAACGTTTTCTGTTAACAGATCTAGATCTGAAAATACCTAGGAAAAGAGTAAAAAACCTGTTTTTATTGTTAACGATGAGTAAATCATGTTTATACATTTATGGAATCTTGGTGGCAAAGTTTTTAAAGGTTTATTTTTGCGATTTTTACTGATTCATGACACCTCTTTAAGTTAAGTTTTGTTTAACAAAGAATTTTGTTTCAGGTTTCGAGCTGACAGAAACTCAGATTTGAGTTTCTGTCCGCTTGGCGGCCGACCGGAGCGGTCGACCGTTGAGCTCGTTTTAGGGCTTCGGTCGACCGCCAAGTTTGTTCGGTCGACCGCGACGCTTGTTCGGTCGACCGCGACATTTATCCGGTCGACCGCGACGTCTGGTCGGTCGACCGAGATGCCTAGCGGTCGACCGCCAGAATCGTGTCAGGGTTCGGTCGACCGGATCGGTCGACCGCCGAACTCTCTGCTGCATTTTTCCTGTTTTGTATATTCGAGTATTTTTACTCATGTTCAAGGGTTTGCCTGGATCACCTGACCTTGGTTATTAGTCCCACTATGTGTCCATGCATGATAGATGACCTGAGGGTATAAAGTTGGGACTTATATACTGAATTGGTTGTGAGGTTGATAAGTAGATTTCACTACATGTATCGTAGCGATCCTTTTACTATTTTCTACAGTCCTCGTGTTGGACTATAATCCATAGAAGTCCTCGTGTTGGACTATAATCCCTCTCAGTCCTCGTGTTGGACAATTGTCACTTTTTCCATGAGTTTGGAAACTATAATAGTTAGTTCTTATATCGGACATAGTTCTTAACCATGCATGTGCCTATTAGACAGCAGTCCACGTCATGATAACTATGTAGACTTTGGTATAACACTTATGTAGATTTATACATGATATTCATGTAAGTAGTAACATGATGTTCATGTTGGTTATGTCACAGCACTGTAAATTTTACTCGGTTGATAGCGGACCACTTTAGTGTTCAGCTTTACTTTCTAGCTATGTATTATTTTCTTTGGGCTCCACTATAGTGTGGTTAGACATTTGAGGATATTATTCTAGAATTTGTAAAGGTGGAGTGCCTTATTTATTCTTGTCAGATATTTGTATTTGAGACTTGTGACTACTCCAGTTTATTTATTCAGACATTGACTATGTATTTCCATTTGTTGGATGATGAGATATTTATTTGATCACTATCATTTCATCAGCCCTTCGTGTATCATCTTTTACTTGCTTTTGTACCTACACCTGTTATTGATTCTACTAGATAGATATTAATTGTGATAGTGAAACATGTTATTGTACGGTGTGGTGCATGGCAGGTTTGACATTCTTGGTTTCACCTTGGACTGCAGCCTTGTGTGAACCCAGGGGCGTCACAGTTCTCGCATAAATATTCTGAACGAAGCTCTAATACCAGTTGTTGGGGTTTCGAAACAATCAATCAATCAAACTCGTGCCTTCCGAACCTTGTGCTAAGAGTTTTGTATGTACGAAAATCACCGTAAATTAAAGAAAAAATTACAGGAAAGATAAACAAGAAAGAACACACCAGATTTAACGAGGTTCGGCAACGTGCCTACGTCCTTGGGAGCCACACCACACAATTCTTTTGATTAATTGAAGAAGATTACAATGCCCACAAATAGGTTTTTATCTCTCTGAGATCTCTCTGAAAGAATCCTCTCAAAACCCTCTTTTTAACGTGTTCTATTAACCCTAAAAACGTATTAGGTATATATAGTATCCCAGCCCAAAACAATTTAGGAAACTGCAAAAAACGGCTTTCGGTCGACCGGACCATGTGTTTCGGTCGACCAGCCAGAACGTAGTTTTCTTATAGGGTCTGGTGCACATTTTCGGTCGACCGGAGTCCTCGTGTCGGTCTACCAGACAGAATGTTCATTTCCTACAGGGTTTTTTCGATCGACCGGACTATCACTGTCGGTCGACCGGCTAGAGCGAGCTTCTCACGCTTATTTCCTACAGGCATCGCGGTCGACCGGATCTCATCCGTCAGTCGATCGAACTGGATTTTTCCAATTTTCTTCGTTGCTTTGATTCCATGTTTGGTCTACACTCTCGAGACTAACAAGCTCAACACATTGTAATAGGCGCCTGGCTTTTATACATTGTATTTCGGTAAAAAAAAAGGGTAAACTATTGAACTTTCTTAGAGCATCTCCAACAACTTCCCCATCTTCTTAAAATACTCAATTTTGAGGAATATAGAGCTATTTTTAGGTCTAACAGTTTCTCCATCTCATTCCCTAAAATGGGGATGGAGAAGAAAAAAAGAGGGTCTTTCCCCAAATCTGCAGCATTCTGCAAAAATTCTTCCTTCTCTAAATTCTTGAAAGTAACATTATCATAAATATCTCACATTCTCCAAAGAAGAAAAAATATATATCTAATACTTTATTGAGTTTTATATTGTTATAATAAAATATCAAACATTTATTTTCTTAATTATTATTAAGTATATAGGATGTTTTATAGTTGTAATAAATGCCTAAATCCCTAAAATGGGGAAGCTGTTGGATTTGGAGCAAAAACATTTTATGGCCTGTTTAGTAACCATAATTTCATTTCAAATACAGTATTTGGCCTAATTGTATTGTTTGGGTCCAAAAGAATTTGAATTCTGGATATTGGCCAAAATCCAGTAACATTTTAATAGTGTACTGGACCCATAAATCTAAATCTCAACTTGCAATCCGTCATTTCAATTCCATCTCCCCCTCCCTGCTCTCGCTGTCACGCCCCGCTTCCCAAAATACCAGGGAATCATAACGTGAACAAACCCGCGACGTATTAGATTGAGAAGAAATATATACTATCATTTTTTTTCTTTTTCTTTTCTCCTCAACCCAATACGCTAAGCGTCTAAAAATAAATACAATGCGAAGTCACAGGTCCCCGATCACAATGACGAGAATATAATAAACAACTCAAAACCAAAAGATACATATCACAACTAAAATGATCATCCAGACATAATATTCGGACCAAACATGCCCTTATACAAACGATCTGAATGCTGGAAAATATAAAATACAACGATCAAGCGGAAATGGAAAGTGCTATAAAAGTAAACTAAGGACCAACAGCTGATAAAAGAAATAACTTGGCTTTGGCTTCTTCTGCTTGGTCTACAAAGCACTCCTACGAGGGATCCTCTGGCTCCTATACGATTCCGAACTGAGGCTGCTCATCTCCTAAATCTGATGTACACCAGAGAAAACAGGTGTACAGCACACGGCAAGATCCCACAAGGGAGAAAAGTAAACGGTCGAACGACCAATGCAAGAACAAGTAATAATAGTAAAAGAAGCATGCTACTACAATCTACCACTAGAATATAATAATCAGGAGAATCCAAGAAAGTCAACCAAGTAACAAGTCTATCATACAGCCAACGATCAGAATAATCAT